AAAGTCTTTGTAACATAAATTTACAAGGGCGGGCCATTGTGCACGCCAGTGTCATTTGCCGAATTCGATGTTTTGCTTGTAAAATAGGCAAAAAAAGCGACAATTAAGGTTGTCCCTTCATTTGTCAAATCGTCGGATGTAGCCAGCAAAGTAGATAGATCATATTTCCCAAAGGGCAGGAGGGCTGTTTAAAAGACCTCGGAGTTGACACCGCTGTGTAGGTTTTCGCTGTATCGTTGAGTTTGTGCTGAAAATGTTTCACGTTCATTTCCTGAAGAAGACCTCAGCACCTGGGGGCGAAACGTCGCGCGCGTTGCTGAAAAACACGCAGTGCGACTCAACTCACTCAACAGAAGAAAAAGCTTGGCCAGCCGCCAACAAAGTGTCAGCAGCTCCACAGAAAGAGCGCGCGCCGGTGCAGCTCATCCAGCAGTGGAGAGAACGGCTGTCAGCGAACCAGCATGGGCGCGTTCGCGCATCTTCAAGGAGAGAGAGCGCACGCCATCAGCACCAGCGCTGAGAGGGCAGCGGGCCCGCACTCGACACCCATCATCGTGCGACGACGGCAAGCGTCGTGCTGACTAATCCAGCCAGCGGTGGACAGAAACTGTGACAAAGCCGTTCGTATGCCCCCCCCTCCCCCACACTCTCCCCCTCACTCCCCCACCACGCCGCAACACACAGGAAACACATTTTGGACACAAGAGATGCTAACCTCGGCGTCTACTTTACGCAAAGATTTGAACCAGTCATAAAGAAGACACATGATACGCATATCGGGATAATCAAGAAGGATTGCCACTCCAAGGTGGTGCATTAAAAATCAATTCATAACGAAAAATACTGCTGTCATTGAGTTGCATAATAACTAATCGTCCTACTGTTAACAATGTGATAAGAATTGACTTGAAGGTCAATTAATGGATGTGGTACTGTGTGGGCAATGTTTAAACACGAATTTACATATTATAAGGTTAAGGTTTTGATAGAATAGTTGCATGTTTTAATCTCTCAACAACCGATTGATTGCGTTACGCGTCGGGAATTAACCACAGGTGCCGTTATCGAAGTGAAACAACGCAATCGTGATGTGTACCATGTTAATGCTGTGTTGAAATCCCGATATTTGAGAGTTCTCATCTTATTCAAAAATTAAAGTTTAGCTAGAAAATATAATTGATTAAAGCATAAAGGTTGTGTGTGATTCTTCCTGAAATTCTGCGTAAAATTGTTCTGCGAATGAGATTATGAACCTTGAGGGGACCTATCACCACACATAATCCATAACACATAATTCATAATGTTCAATCGAGAGTAATCGTATCCTTATCGATAATACGGAATTAAATAGCAGAGTCGAACCGACTCTCTCTCATTCATGCTCATAACACCTACGAAACTGCATACGATTAATTGCGTTATTCCAATTCATAACACAATCCTCGTCACAGAGGCTGGACCTAATTATCATAACGACCTGCATTATCATAACCACACCCACTCGCATAAAGTAATATGATTATCTCTCCAATCAGCATAATTTATGCGCATAATTACACGAATTAACATAACTTCGGGTAAATTATGCAAATTCAAATTTAATTTAATTTTCATTATTTTCATCAATTTTCATAACACCCACATATACAACACTGAACAGGCCCGCTCACCATCATGAAGGTCCTTAATGATCGTGAGCAGAGGGCCAGGGACTTCGAAAGCACAAAGAACAACCAAGACCCCAGGCCTACTGATGGTATCATAGGCCTTGACCAGGTCAATAAAGCAGAGATGTAGGTCTTCTTGGAATTCCCTATACCTCTGCTGTAGCAGACGGATAGAAAATATGGCATCTGTGCAGGACCGCCCTTTCCTGAAACTGCATTGGGGCTCCGCAAACCTCTCCTCAGCGTGCCTGGCAAGGCGATGTTGAATAATCCTTGCCAGGACCTTTCCCGGCACACTGAGGAGGTTTTAAACCTGGGTGAGTGATGGTGTTATCATTGTGGGCCTATCCGATGCGAAGACCAGAGGGGGGTTGATGTAGGCATTAACGCTTCAATGAATTTTGGTTAATCTCAGAAAATGCACCACCTATTATTGGTGGGTTTAACGACCCATTTATATTTACGCGATCGAACCCAAAAAAGCCTGATGGGTATCGGTCGCGAAAGCCTACGTGTTCAACATTATATGACTATAATTAGACCTCCTTTGCCAGTACCAAAATGTAATAATAGGGTTTTCCCCTTTTTTTCTGGCAACAAAACTGAAACCTTTTGCAAGGATTCATGTCTGCATTAACCACAATACCTGCAGTCAAAATGCAAACAAAAAACATACTATGATAATATATGCATTGTCCTTGAAACTGATTGGTCCACACCAAGGGACGGCTATCTTTTGAGCCTCGACCCAACTGGTGCTCGACCACATGACGCCAGAAGGCGTACAGCTCAAAGACAATGCACTATCAAAGTAATGAGGGCTTGGGTGAGCATCTACATCATTAGACCTCTTTGCCAGTACCAAAATGTAATAGGGTTTTTCCCTTTTTTTTCTGGCAACAAAACTGAAACCTTTTTGCAAGGATTCATGTCTGCATTAACCACAATACCTGCAGTCAAAATGCAAACAAAAAACATACTATGATAATATATGCATTGTCCTTGAAACTGATTGGTCCACACCAAGGGACGGCTTTCTTTCGAGCCTCGACCCAATTGGTGCTCGACCATATGACGCAAGAAGGCATACAGCTCAAAGACAATGCACTCATTATTTTGATAGTGCATTGTCTTTGAGCTGTACGCCTTTTGGCATCATCTGGTCGAGCACCAATTGGGTCGAGGCTCAAAAGAAAGCCGTCCCTTGGTGTGGACCAATCAGTTTCAAGGACAATGCATATATTATCATAGTATGTTTTTTGTTTGCATTTTGACTGCAGGTATTGTGGTTAATGCAGACATGATCCTTGCAAAAAGGTTTCAGTTTTGTTGCCAGAAAAAAAGGGGAAAAACACTATTACATTTTGGTACTGGCAAAGAGGTCTAATGATGTAGATGCTCACCCCAAGCCCTCATTACTTTGATAGTGCATTGTCTTTGAGCTGTACGCCTTCTGGCGTCATGTGGTCGAGCACCAGTTGGGTCGAGGCTCAAAAGATAGCCGTCCCTTGGTGTGGACCAATCAGTTTCAAGGACAATGCATATATTATCATAGTATGTTTTTTGTTTGCATTTTGACTGCAGGTATTGTGGGTTAATGCAGACATGAATCCTTGCAAAAAGGTTTCAGTTTTGTTGCCAGAAAAAAAGGGGAAAAACCCTATTATTAACATTATATGACTGCTCAGCCTGAGCCATGTTAACGATCTGATATTTGCATTGCCCTTGGACTGCTCGCCCTTGAAAAGGTGTTGTTTTCTGGTCTCCTAACACCGTGTTGTTTCTGGTCTCCTAACACCGGTGCAGAGACAGGGCAATGAAGGATTGCCGTGTCTGGGTGTCGGATAATCGGCTGTCTAAGGACAACGCCGCACATTGTTTTCAAAAGCATCTTTGTTTCCACGTTTTTTGCCACAAGCGTGACGCGCGTGGTTATAACGTGGACGCTCCATGATGCCCTGCACGAGGTGTGTGTCTGTTGGGTGTGTGAATATCTCAACACCTCCAGTATTACTGCCGGAGAGGGTAATAAAGGCTTTTTATTCATAACAGGCATCGTTTTTAAAGCGCGGGAAACCAAAGCTTGCTCACTTACGAGCTTGACCAGTAAGAAATTATTATCCTGACTCAATGTTAATGTGAACAAAACAACTCAATAGGAACATGTGTGTGTGTGTGTGTGGGGGTATAAGATATACAGGGTGTCCGACATGAATATACAAAGAAGTTGAATAGTTTAGTTTAACACGTAGGCTTTCGTGACCAATATCATCCACAATACAGGGTTTTTAAGGGTTAGATCACGTATAAATCTAACCCAAAAAACCCTTATTATAGTTGAATAGTTTAATTGTTATTCGTGATGCTGACATACATTTTATCTCTATAAATACATTAGACTTACGAGTTTTAGTTTGTGAATATATCAATTGGCACTTGTTTCAGGTTAAAAATCCCCAGTTTCTGATATAGCGGAAAGTCCGCCCGTTCGCTAGCCGACTTAATGCCATTCGATGTTTTAGCTCCGGCGGTGTTAAAGGTAAAGTCTTACGCGAACAAACTACGGGGACCTTGAAGAGCAGTGTCGATGCAGTGTCATCATCACCCACACCTACAGCTGTGTTGGGAAACGTTTCCTTAAAATTAGATTGATTGCAGTGAATGTCGGGACAGCGTGTTTATTATCATAAAGTATTTTGGGTTAGATCGCATTAAGTATAATGTGTTGTAACCCTCCACCACCCGACACAGCCAGTAAGGTTTGTCACGTAAACAACGCGCCAATTAGTTACTAGTATATTTCATATACTAATAGTGTATAGCAGTGTGTGGTGTAGTGTATAGTGTAGTCTATAGTGTCGTGTATAGTGTAGTGTATAGTAGTGTAGTGTATAGGAGTGTAGCGTATAGTGTAGTGTATAGTAGTGTAGTGTATAGTAGTGTAGTGTATAGTGTAGAATACACTGCACTTTCGCGGTGTATTTCGAAACGTCTCATTTCCTTAAGACTCCTCGAGGTACTTCCCATCGTAGTCCTCCGTGCACACGGAGAGTTTTTTCTTGATATAATTCCCGACGCCCCCCCGAGCCCACGGCCGCTCACGGCCGCGTGAGTGCGTCCCAGCGTGCGCCACAAAACGGTGTTCGGAAAAAAGACCCCCTCCCTGGACTCCTCATACGGCTGGCCCCTCCCTGTGAGTCACCGAATGCCGCAGAAGGTGGCGACGAAAAGCAAAACTCTTGCCGCACAACGCGCACACGTACGGCCTCTCGCTCATGTGCGCCCTTGCGTGCGGGTGCAAGCTGTGCGCCTGCGTGAACCCCTGCCCGCCACTTCATCACACACGTACGGCTTCTCGCCCGTGTGCGTCCTGGCATGCTTCTTCATGTTGGAGCACCTGGGAAAACTCTTCCCGCACTCCATGCACACGTACGGCCTCTCGCCCGTGTGCGTCCTCACTTGCAAGTTCAAGTTGCAGGCCTGCGCGAAGCCCTTGCCGCACTCAAGGCACACGTACGACGTCTCACCCATGAAGCACTTGCCGCACTGCCCGCACGCGTGCCGCTTGTCGCCGGGGGCGCTCGCAGTCTTCTTGTCTCCTGCAAAGGTATGGACGGGCGGGGTGAGCGGTGTGGTGGGAGCGTTGTCTGGGCGCATTGTGCCCGTACGTGGCTTCCCGTCAGCGTTGGGCTTAAGGTTTGGGCTTAAGGTTCGGGTTAGATCACGTTGTTAAACCCGCCACCACCCAACACAGTAGTAAGTGCACCCCAATGTGTGCACTTACTACTATAGTCCTTAGATACAACTACTGTAGAGCGGTGGGGGGATGGTGGGGGAGGGGTAGCAGCTCAGCCCCAGCCTGCAAAGGTGCCACCTTGGCCAGCTGGGCAATCTAGGCGAGGCCGGCGGCTCTCCACGGGACTAGGCCTCACCACGGCACTTTGTATAGTTAGTAGATACTGCTAGAGTCGATATATACCTTTATAGAGTCGGTATATACGATTATTGAGTCGGTGGATACTACTATAGAGTCGGTAGATACTAATATAGAGTTGGTATATACTGCTATAGAGTCGGTAGATACTACTATAGAGTTAGATACTACTATGGTCAGTATATACTACTGTAGTGATAGCAGATACTGCTATAGAGTCGATGGATTATATTACAGAGTCAGAAGATACTACTACAGTCAGTAGATACTACTATAGTCAGTTTCTACTGCTATCAAGTCGGTAGATACTCCTATAGAGTTAGTAGATACTACTATAGTCAGTATATACTACTGTACAGTTATTAGATACTACTATAGAGTCAGTAGACATACTACAGCCAGTAGATACCACTACAGTCAAAATATACTGCTGCAGAGTCAGTAGATACGTCTATAGAGTTTGCATATACTGCTATAGAGTCAGCAGATACTACTGTAGAGTCAGCAGATAATACTATAGTTAGTAGTTACCATAATCAGTAGATACTATGCTATTATTTAATTTATTTTTCTTTCTATGTGAATTTACCGAAAGAACCAAAGAGTAATTCCTGCAGTCATGAAAGCTCCAAATCAAGTTTCTACTCCTATAGAGTTGCTATATACGACTCTAGAGTCAGTAAATACTATTACGGGCAGTTGATACTACTACAGTCAGTAGATACTACTACAGTCAATAGATACTACAATACAGTCAGTAGATGCTACTATACTCAGTAGATACTACTGTACAGTCAATAGATACTACTAAAGAGTTTCGAGATACAACTATAGAGTCAATAGATGCTACTATAGAATCAATAGATACTACTCACTTTATTGTATATAGGGTGTGTAGGTATATTTGCCTATGGTGGGTAAAAACATTATTTTAGGGGGGGTCGACAATTTTCGGAAACCTTTTAGATCAACTATTTACCCCCCACTTTGTTACTTTTTGATTCAGGACTTCTGCAAGCCTCTAATAATTTTGTTGACGGACAAATGGACAGACAAATGGAACACCGGGCTTCCACAACAGCTTAGTATTTGTGTATGTTATGTTTTTAAGAGAGACAAGTTTCGAAATATATTTTCCCCCCAGGCAATGCCGGGTACTTCCCATTAGTACACTATACACTGGTGCTTCCTGATTTGCTATGTCGGGGTGGTGGCAGGTTTAACGACACATTTATATTTACGCAATCCATTAACAAAAATATATAAATTATGGATGATGTCGGTTGCGAAAGCCGGCTAGGTGTTAAACTAAAGGTTTGATTACAGTAAACCTACGCTACGCACCAACGCTGGATTCGTTGAGTTTCGCAAATTTGCAAGTTACTAGATGCGTGCCAATTCCCCCAACGGCAAGTCCACTCAGCTCCACGTCCTCCTGTACCACATCACTCCATCTCTTCTCTAGCTTATGCCGTGCCCATTTAGCCCCCGAACAAGCTGTGGTGGCTGGACAGGTGGCCTACATGGCCCAGCCATCACCACCACCACCTCCATCGTCTTCAAATCGTCATCATCATCATCATCAAAGGTAATTAAAGAACACAGTTATTTTTAATGGATTATTTATTTATCGCAGTAATTGTTATTGAACAAACTTGATTTGGCGCTTTTGTGACTGCAGGAATTACTCTTTGGTTCTTTCGGTAAAGTCACCAAAAGAACCAAGAAGATGAATCCCTGCAGTCACGAAAGCTTTAAATCAAAATGTACTCTTTGGTTCTTTCGGTAAAGTCACGTATAAAGAGGAAATAATTAATTAAATAATTGCATGCGACGTTTCGATTGCAAACACAAGCAATAATCATCAGGTACAAATGAAAGAGAAAACAAACCTAGTAAACTTAGAAATATAATGCAATACAACACACACAGTCGGCCAACATAACAGTCAAACACCCTACCTGGTTGATCACGTTCTTTCCAAAGATTGCCAAATTAAGAGAAGATAAAAACACAGAACCAGAGACACATAGACAGACACATAAGCAGAGAGAGATGACACAGAGACAGAGAGAGAGACACACAGGCACAGAGAGGTGGTGTGTTGGGATCGAACCCACGACCTCCTGTATACCAGGCGATGTAGTCAACATCTCCTAGCCACCGTGATGCTGATGAGAGAGATACAAGCAAACTCCAAATATACAGCAGGCAGTGTCAGGGTCGGGATCGAACCCACGACCTCCTGTATACCAGGCGAGGTAGTCAACGTCTGCTATCCACCGTGGTGCCACCGTGCTCACCAGCATCAATGTCTTGCAGTCTCTCCATGAAATCTAGCCACGTCCCAAGCCCTGCATTATCATCTATTTCTTGCTTGACGAACGCCAATTGAATGTCAGAAGCCATCTGGCAGAAGGAAAGCAAAGAAAAACAACGACAATGAACGTAGACAACCAAACAGATCCATAATAGAGGTTTGTTTGTTTGGGTTAGATGGCATAAATATATAATGTTGCGCTGTCGATAAACCCAGCCACCACCCGACACAGCCATTTACTAAGGTTTAGTGCCACGTGAACAGAACGTGCTAATTCATTACGAAGTACAGCACTAGTGTGGAGTGTATGGTGTAGTGTATAGTTTATAGTGTAGTGTATAGTGTAGTGCATAGCAGTGTATAGTGTGGCATATAGTGTAGTGTATAGTGTCGTGCATGGGGGAGTGGTAGTGTTGCGGTTAGCACGCTGCGCTATGCACCCCGGCGACCCCGGTACGATTCCCGCTCATAGCCAACACCAGTGACGATGATCTGAACCAGTCCTGGGCCTCCCCTAGGTCGATTCGGCCTCAAATGAGTACCTGGTGCGGTGTGTAGTAGTGGCACTCTGAGTGACCCCGGCTGGACACGTGACCAGATCCAGGTGGGGGGCCAGGGGCCCTGGGGGACCCTGGGGGTTACGTGGTCAGGGAGTGGAGCCTTCTTGTGGGTTCGAGGAGGGCGTGGCTAGGGTGTGGCCAGCCACGCCAGGGGGGCTTATAAGCCGGCTCAAGCACAGAGAGCTGAGCTGTTCATGCCTGGGATGAAGACGTCTCATGAAGAATCTGAAGGAAGAAGCCTCCAGTCATCGTGGCCAAGCAGAAGCCCTCCTGGCTTGGCCACGCCAAGTAGAACCCGAGTGTTAGCGAGAGTAGGCGGTGGTCACCACCTCATGTGTAGGGTGTGTTGCAGTTGTGTTGCAGTTGTGTTAAATAAATAAGTGTTGCCTCCACAAGAGTGTGCACGCCTCTGTCGAAACCATTACAGCAGTATCTGACTCTCCAGTAGTAACTGACGCTATAGTAGTAACTACTAACTCTAATAGCAGTATCTACTGACTCTAAAGCAGTATCTACTGACTCTGCAGCAGTATATACTGACTGTAGTGGCATCTGACTGTAGTATTATCTACTGACTCTATAGTAGTATCTACCGAATCTACGGAAGTATCTACCGATTATAGTAGTATCTACTGACTCTGCAGGAGTATCAAATGACTCGTATAGTAGTATCCAGACTATAGTAGTATCTATTGACTGCAGTAGTATCAACTGACCGTATATAGTATCTACTGACTGTAGAAGTATTTACTGACCATAGTAGTAGTATCTACTACCTCTACAGTAGTATCTACTGTCTCAATAGTAGTATCAACCCAACTCTATGGTAGTAAATAGTGACTGTAGGTAGTATCTAATGATTATAGTAGTATCTACTGAATCTATAGTATATATTGATTGTAGAGGTATTTACTGACTGTAGGAGGATCTACTAATTCAAACAGTGATATCTACTGGACTCAATAGTAGTAACTACTGATGGTAGGAGTATCCACTGACTATAGTAGTAACTACTAATGCTACAGTAGTATCTCCTCTATAGTAGTATCTACTGAAGTATTAAAGCTTTCCGTAACTGCATAAAATTACTCATACGTGACTTTACCGAAAAAAACCAATGAGTAATTTATGCAGTCACAAAAGCTTTCATACTTTATTATCACACTTCTACGGGGAAGTTACCGTTGTAATTATGTGTAAGATGTGCCCTTTTTTGAGCTGCCGTTTGTATTCACAAGAAGGTGGTCATTTTTGAGCTGGCCGTTTTGTATTTACAAGAGGTGGTTCCTTTTTGAGCTGCCGTTTTGTATGTGTAAGATGTGCATGTTTGAGCTGCCGCTCTCACATCTGGCCCCTCCCCCCCTCCAACCGTATTTCCTATTTAAGCTTCTGTTCATCCCTCCCGGGCCCCCCCCCCCCTCTCTCTTCCTCCCTGTCCGTCTTTCCTCTCTCCTTACCTCTTGCTGGATTTGTATATGTATTTCTACTGTGTACCTCGTATTTTTCATTCTATCTATGCTGGTATGTGCAATCCAAAGGTTGAACACGAAATTTAACACTCTTCTGAAATTCGTGGTCCGCCAGGAAGTGTTTAACTGTGTTGTTGGCCTGACTGGATGTGCATCACATAATGTTTTTTTCAGGTTTGTTGAATTCTCGTCTCTCATCTTTTGTTGTATTTACCTCCATGATTTGTTCTTGACACCTGATGAAGATCGCTAGTATTGTGATCGAAACGTCATGATTGTTTGTTTTAATATAATTTTATTGTGTTTCTACATACGTGACTTTACCGAAAAAACCAATGAGTAATTTTATGCAGTCACGAAAGCTTTAATACTTTATTATCACACTTCTACGGGGAAGTTACCGTTGTAATTACGTGTAAGATGTGCCCTTTTTTGAACTGCCGTTTTGTATTTACAAGAGGTGGTCATTTTTGAGCTGCCATTTTGTATTTACAAGAGGTGGTCCTTTTTGAGCTGCCGTTTTGTATGTGTAAGATGTGCGTGTTTGAGCTGCCGCTCTCACTCTGGCCCCTCCCCCCCTCCAACCGTATTTCCTATTTAAGCTTCTGTTCATGCCCTCCGGCCCCCCTCTCTCTCTGCCTCCCTGTCCGTCTTTCCTCCCTCCTTACCTCTTGCTGGACTTGTATATGTATTTCTACTGACCGTGTACCTCGTATTTTTCATTCTATCTATGCTGGTATGTGCAATCCAAAGGTTGAACATGAAATTTAACACTCTTCTGAAATTCGTGGTCTGCCAGGAAGTGTCTGTGTTGTTGGCCTGACTGGATGTGCTTCACATAATGTTTTTTCAGGTTTGTTGAATTCTCATCTCTCATCTTTTTGTTGTATTTACCTCCGTGATTTGTTCTTGACACCTGATGAAGATCGCTTGCATTGTGATTGAAACGTCGTGATTTTTTTGTTTTAATATAATTTTATTGTATTTCTACATACGTGACTTTACCGAAAAAAAACAATGAGTATCTACTGACTCTATAGTAGTATCCACTGACCATAGTAGTATCTACTGACTGTATAGTAGTATCTACTGACTATAGCAGTCTTTACTGACCGTAGTGGTACCTACTGAGGACAGTAGTTTCTACTGACTCAATAGTATCTGCTGACTATAGTAGTATCAACCAACTCTATAGTATATACTAACTCTACAGTAGTTTCTAATGACTATAGTAGTATCTACTGAATCTATAGTCATATCTATTGACTCTAAAGTAGTATCAACTAACTATAGCAAGTAACTGCTGACTCTATAGCAATATCTAATGAGAAGATTGGCATGTTAGAGAACAGGGCACGAGGTGGCTTTTGTGCCCGGTTCTCTGACACTGACTTGCCAATCTTCTCATTAACACAGCCGCTACTGCGGGAGCCATCTCACATTGACATGCTAATCTATAATTTCTAGCAATACAATAGCCGCCTCTTCAGCACCCTATTCGTGGGGTTACATTAACAGATTGACATGCTAATCTTCTGCAATACAATCGTGCGCCTCTTTAGCACCGTAGTCGTGAGGTATATCAGGCTCTCCGATCTTACATTTACATGCAAATTCCATCTCTAGCCCTGCCCACTTACCCTTGGGTTGCACCCATCTCAAACCTATATAACCTCTTGATGCAGCAGCTCTCTCGCTATATTTCTCCTGCTGTATTTTTTCACCTGAAGACGTTTGCGATCGAAACGTCATGGTTTTTATTATTTTCTATCTACGTGACTTTACCAAAAGACCCAAGAGTATAGTATCTGCACACTCGATAGCAGTATCTACTGACTCTACAGTAGCATCTACCGACTCTGCAGTAGTATCTCCCGACTTTACAGTAGTATCTACCGACTCTACAGTAGTATCTACTGACTCTATAATCGTATCTACCGACTCTATAATAGATCTAGTAAGTATACAAGTGTCGTTGTGAGGCCTAGTCCCGTGGAGAGCCCCCGGCCTTGCCTAGATTGCCCAGCTGGCCGAGGTGGTGCCTTAGCAGGCTGCGGCTGGGCTGCTATACCCCCCCCCCCCCCCCCACTGCCCACTCTACAGTAGAAGTAACTAAATATTCTGCAGTAGTATCTACCTACTCTACAGTAGTATCTCTCTATAGTCGTATAATACCGACTCTATAATAGTGTAGTTGGCGCCTTGGCAGGCTGGGGCTGGGCTGCTATAATGTAGCGGCATCGTTGAGCGCTGTACGTGATTGCCACTACTTGTAGCGTGTAATAACGGCCTCGAGTCAACAGGGAGCAGAAGGGAGTCTAAGGGTGATGAGTCTGGCCGTTGAGCTAAGGTAATCCTAAGGCAGCTCGGGACCACAAGTACAAACCCCCAGACCCCCAGGAAGACGGTTCCAGAAGGGAGGAGTGGCCAGGGGCGGGTGAGGCAGAATCCGGTATAAAAGACAGTCCGCTGAACGGGTACGGCAGTCGTCGTTCACCTGAAGACTCAAGAGCCATACTCTTTGGTTCTTTCTGTAAAGTCACGTAGGTGAAAAAAAATTAATGAAATAAATAAATCACGACGTTACGATTGCAACACAAGCAATCATCATCAGGTGTGACAACCACAGCAAGGAAATTTTTCACTGAAGTGTGAGAGAGACCAGGTTAGGGCAGTTAAATAAGTCAGAGAGGGGGAGGCTAGGGGGGGTGAATGGTGCGAGGAGTGCGAACGCTGCAAGTACAGCAGAGACGCTGAGAGTAATGAGGGCAGACATAATTTCTGCCAAGATAGATGATGACATCCAAAGCAAAATAGCCACACTGCTAGGTAAAATAGACTAATACCCGGCAAATAAGATGGAGCAACTTTGAACAGGTAAATTTTACTTGGTTAATAACATCTTAATAACTCAGAGAGCCACCCTGGAGCTGTAACCTTGAAGACCCGAAGCGAAGAGCCCAAAGGGCTGAACCAAAAGCTTAACCAGTGAAGAGGCTAGAGCATACTCTTTGGTTCTATTCGGTAAAGTCACGTAGGTAAAAAATAAAATAACAAAAA